TTTTTCTGGGTGTGGTATGAAATTCTTATATCAAACCACATTAATTAGATTTTAGTCTTAAATAACCTGCCATTATAAGGAAATTTTTTTTAGGTTAACATCACTGGTGCAGTTTCTTGATATGTAATCGCGACTGCTACTTTATCATATACTACGTTTATGCTTACGCTGATTAACGAATTCATTTCATGAATTTGGGTTAAAATTGGCTGCATAAACACTATTTCATGAATTCAGTTATACACGAAAGTTAACCATGAATTCGGCATCATTTCATGAAATTGTGAAGTGCAAGTCCGTCAACGCCACGTTTCCAAACAGCTGTTTAGTAGGGTTATGGTGTTTTTAGAATAATAACCATGAGAGCATAACCAGGATTGTAAACAGTTATGGAAAACTTATGTGGAATTGCTCAAATATGAAATAAATTCAAATGGAATAACCTGAAAATGGATTAAAACCAATTTAAACAAAATAAGGTTCATTGCCTGGAACCAACGGATTTTGCAAATTTAAAAGGAGGCAAACATTTCACAACCCTACTGGGTAGTTTCCCGCCAGAGCGTTGCCACTTTTTCAAATCACTTCATTTCATGAATTCGCGAACAATGCATAAACGGGACCATTTTTGAATTTATGAAATGAAAAATTCACGAATTCTGTCGCATAAACGTAGTAATTGTCACAGTTCGGAGCAGCGACTGTGACTACTACAAAAACATCATTGCGACTGTTGCTTTGTAACAGTCTGTCACGGCATGATTGAAAGAGATAAGGTTGCGTATACAAGGCTGTGATAAAAAAGTCGATTTCGGTGATGACGTATTGGGTGTTTGGCAGCCATAATTGTTTTGTTAAACTCTATACATTTTGTAAACAAATATGCGAACAAAGGAATAAAAAGTGAAATGCTGTGGAATTCAAGTGTAAAAAATATAAAATATAGCATTCGCACATTTATTTAAACCAAACGCAAATCAATTTAACCCAAACGCAAATTAAATTAAACCAAACGCAAATTAATTTAACCCAAACGCAAATTTAATTAAACGAATCGCAAATTAATATAACCCAAACGCAAATTAATTTAACCCAAACGCAAATTAAATTAAACCAAACGCAAATTAAATTAAACCAAAGGCAAATTTTATTAATCCACATAGAAATTAAACGCAACACAGCAAAAGGGTAACTATTACTATTATATGGTGTTTACATGAGGCGATTTTAGAGGTGATTAGTGTAATCAAAAGTTTGCTGCCACCCAAATTCATTTGAAGCGATTAGTGAAAAGGCCACACCAAACGATTATTGCTTCCACCTAAAAGTTGCCTCTGGAATCTTTGCATTCGAGAAACAAAGCAGAACAGCCACTCGCGATGTTGATCCGTTGCTGTCTCGCCCACGACGTGTGAAGTGAGCATAAACAATTGTTCTATGGCGTGCCCACCATTGCTATAGATTCAAACTACAACTACTAATCTATAGTGGCAATGATAGTTTTTGGTTTAAATTAATTTGCGTTTGGTTTAATTTAATTTGCGTTTGGGTTAAATTGATTTGCGTTTGGGTTAAATTGATTTGCGTTTGGGTTAAATTGATTTGCGTTTGGTTTAAATAAATGTGCGAATGCTATACATAACGAATTGACAAATAGATACTTAGTTTTATGCTTTAAAGACAATATTTAAAGAATAATATTGCTGCTGCTTTTGGGAAAATCAAGATAGAAGCGACTATATATAATGATTTTGTAAAAAAAAAGTATATAAATATTAACAAATGTCCTACGTATTATATTTTTCGCGTAGAAGTTGTTCCGGTGAGGAAATTTAAGTAAACTCTAATTGTATTTTGCGTTGTTCTGTGCCAGGGAAATCTTGTTATAAAAAGTTGCAAATGTTAAACTAAAAGTGCTCATCATTTAAAAAATGTTAAAAGGACATAAAGAAAAGTTCTATGTATTAAATTATTTGTGTAGAAGTTGTTCCGGTGAGGAAATTAATAAGCAAAATGTAATTGTATTGTCCGCTGTTCAGTCCCAGGGAAGTCTTGATATAAAAATTTTGCAAATGTTAAATTTTAACGGTGTTCAAATGAGGCGATTTTCCAGGCAATTTTAGAGGCGATTAGTTGACTCAAAAGTTGGCTACCCCCCCAATTTCATTGGATGCGATTAGTTGAAAGGCCGTTCACACCAGGCGATTGTTGCTTTCAACTAAAATTTTCCTGTAAAATCGACTCATGTAAACACCGTATTAAAGTGGTTATCATTTCAAAAATGGTATAGACATAAAGAAACATTCAATATAATATATTATTTGTGTATAAGTTCCTATTACCAAAAAGGCACATATACAGTGTTGGAAAAAATAATAGAAACAATTTATTGAAAAGTATTAAATCAATTATATCAACACTAGTTATATATATTTTTTGGAATGGCGCACCCTGTACAAATATCAGTTAAAGGTTTTGCTTTTGCAAAACATTATATTCCGCTAGTCTGTATCCTTTTCACTTTATGTGCGAGAGAGTAAACAATTGAATTGTTGCGCTTGGAAAAAATAATAGAAACAAAATGTGTTTGTTAATATTGGTGCTTTACAAAAGGTAAATTAATTTTTTTTGGCACTTCTAATTGCGTTTTTAAAGAATGTTAACTAAGGTAGAGTTATACTATAGGTTATTGAAACATAAAAAATAATAAAATGGGCCGAGCTAAACACTGCACGGAAGAGGAGAAGAATTTAATAAAAAGTTTAAGAAAACAAGGAAATTCGATGAGTAAGATCGTAGATATGGTGGGCTGTTCCAAAACGAAGGTGTTCCCTGCCCTTCATAGCGTAAAAAACCAGTAACACAAAGCGAAAAATGACTGCTAGCGATCAAAGGCGTTTAATTCGGCATTACAAAGTTAACCCTTTTCTGTCTTCAAGAAAGCTGAAAACAGAATTGAATGTCGATGTAACAAGCCGAGCCATGACGTGCAGATTGGTAGAAGCCAAACTTTCAGCCAGAATCTCTAGAAAGGTACCGTTGCTGAGCCTTAAAAAACAAAAACAACAGACTTGGTTTTGCCAGAAAACATCTTTTTCGTCAAAATGGTGAAAAATGTGCTGCAGTCTGATGGGACAAAGAGTAATACGAACACAGCCTTTGATCCACAACACACGAAAAAAAACGGTTAAGCACAGCGGGAGCTCCATTATGGTATAGGGCTGCTTCCCGAAGGAACAAGTTGGTCCAATACTTTGGATTAAGAACAAAATGTGCGCGCTTGACTATGTAAACATATTACAGATGATAAGGCTTTCCTATGCAAAAGAGGAAATGCCATTGCGGTTGGATTTACTGCAGGATAATGATCCTAAACATGCATCAAAACTGGAAAAGTAGTGGTTAAAGAAGGAAACAGTGCAGGCTATGGAGTGGCCGCCACAATAGCCAGACCTCAACCCTATTGCGCACCTTTGGGCGGACTTAAAGAAGAGAATCGGGCCTTTTAAAGCCAGCAATAAAGACGAATTGTTGCGCCACATTCTAAAATCGTGGTATTCCATTCCGAAAAGTGTTTGTGCAAACTTCGTCAATTCGCGGCACCGAATATGCGAAGAGGTAATCAGGCAATGCGGCGATTTAATAAGCTATTAAAACAATAATATTTTTGTAGGAATTTTTTGTTCAAAGCTTAGTTTATTTAGAAATAATACTTTGTTTCTATTATATCTTCCAGGCCAAAATTAAAAAAGGGGCCACAATTTATTTATGGCTTATTGCCCTTGCAAAAGAAGTCTAGATTTTAATTAACGTAAACGAAATGTACGAAATCGGAATGTGTTTAAAATTAAAGAGTTCTTCAGACAATAAAAAATATATGAAAGCTGTATGTTTCTATAATTTTTTCCAACACTGTATATGTATATGTATGAATGTCACTCAGTGAGAATACTTACATGTGTACCTACATAAATTTTAACCATTCAATAAAAACATTTTATTTCAGTTCATGGTGAAATAATAATAAGGCGTTGTCACTTAGGGGGTGGTTGTTGTAATTTTGGCAACTTCGGCATACCAGCGTTACAGTAGTGCCTACTCTATTCATTCCAATTTCATTTCTGGGCAAAATGGAGCAGACAATTTTGTGAAAAAATTATTCGTAGGTATCACACTACGTTTATACGCACGTATTATTTGCAAATAGCAATTTGCAAAATGGTAAACCTTGCCGTATAAATGCTGAGTTAATAACTAAATCACGCAAAAAGTATTGATTAGTGGTATTATTTGAAAATAAGCGCAAAACGCCGCCATTCTTAAGTTTATTTTCTTTTTCGATGGACATCTTATTGCCTTTTAATAATCAAGACGTTGCCATTTTCATCATCGAATAAACAGTGAGTTAGGTATTTGCAAATTATTTTTATTTGCAAATAGCTTACGTATAAACGTAGTAACTGTTTCTTTGTTTCGCTTTTGCTTTGACTTTTCGTTTCAATTTCATTGAAAAATTTGAGCGATAATTTCCAATAATTGTGACTTTGTCAGTAAATTTTTGATAAAATATATATATATACATTTCCAACAGATTATTGGAGCAGTGCCTAAGATTGCTACGATAATGCACTTTGGTCTAACAATTTAAACGCATAATAATTTCGTAATATAACTGATAGAATTCAGAAATTCAATTTTAAAATGTTAACGAAAATAAAGGTCGTAATAAAATTCCCTTTAAAATTAAGATATTTAAAAACTAAGTACGCATATACATGTACTTCAGAACTCAAGGAAAAAATACAAATAAAATTCCATACGGGCTAATATGTAATTTTTAGTAGAATTTAAGAATAATTAAATAAAGAGAAAGGTATAATTTAATTTGTTTTA